AAAGCTAAAAACAATAAAAAACAATAAAAACATTTTTTTTAAACAAAACATCACTTTATGGGACAATCCCAAGAGGTCCTCTTTCCAACTGATGAGAACCAAATGGGCTCTTACAACTACTGTCACAATTAATAGTCTTAAATAATGAAACTATTAATTGCTGGGTGACATCAAACGTTTTACAGTTGGATATGATGACAGATTACACAGGGTTTATTTACACTGCTTTCTGAAAGGTGTTCGCTGAAAATAAGAAGGGTGAGCCGATTTCTTTATCATATTGAATTAAAAAATTGGAAAACTGTCCAAATCCATGTAAAAAGGATTATTATGAAATGTAATATTTGTAGAGAAGTCTTAGTATTACTGTAATAGCAATATTTTCAAAGAAAGCTTTCAATATTAATCATACTCTGCTTGAGCCATGGGGATTCCTGGTAAGAATATACGTCCCCAGCAACCTATGCTTGTCGTAAGAGGTGACTAAATAGAATGGTAGTGAGGCTTGGTTGACCATTTCATACCACTTGCAAGAATCGACGCTAATGAGGTCAATCACTGGGTTGTCTGTTCTAACGTGGATTAATTACACACTGTCTCCATATTGCTGGAGCACTACTGAAAAAACATATCCCACCTGTCACGTTTCTAGCTTATCTCCCCTGAATCTCAGCATGCCATTCCAGTATTGAATGACCAGATTATAGCAAAGTCACGAAAGAAAGGGGAAAGTTTCATTTACAACGATTATAGTGAAAAGAAGTGACAGAAAACCACCTCGAGCTGTTTCAGTCTGAGACATTCAGCGTTCTGTCTCGGAAAGACAACACATCTTGGACCAAGGAACAAGAAGCAAGATGCATGACCTGCTAAATTCCTCCCCACTCCAATCTTCTCTGTAAATCCCCAAAATCATCTTCTGACATGCATTACTAGTGAGATTGTTAAGCTTGTTGAGCCAGCCAACAAGACCCCAAGGCAAACTTTATCTGATTTTAATGCATGCTACCTGTTTAACCTGTTGGCTTTAATGGATTCATTTCCTGACGATAAAAACCCGTCATATCACATTGTAGGGACAAGATCAGACATGCTGATGTAATTTTCAGGCCATGTTATCCCAAGCCACCCATGATGCTCCTCCAATGGTAAAAACGCTGGCAGATAAATTAGGAAATTATATAAACTCATCCGTCAGCATTTAGACCTTCAGAAGAAGGAGTTCGCCAGGATGTTTCGGATCAAAAGTTGCCAGCATGTTATTTTCTCAACATGTCATTTGTGGTTCGTGTAATTGGCTGAATTAGTATGATGAAAAGCTTCCCACTTGGAACACTGATGTAGCTTATTTAAAAAACGAAATGTTTCAATGGGTCGTGCAAATGAAGGAAAGGAATTTTCTTTCTACGCAGTTAACACATTTCAAGAAAACATTATTTCAACACTTGGATAATACATTTATATCAATTTCGTTCCTTCATTTTGCAGTTCATGAATTTTAATCATGGGGCGCTGTAATCTGTTAATAATGTGAGGAAAATAAAATTTGTAACGTCGCTTCCACGCAAAATGATGATTTGTCCCGTTTTATGCCAACAGGTCTGGAAAACTAAACAAACTGTATAACTATAATTGCCATTTTCAAATGTTTCGATGTAATTATCTTGTCACAAAAACGTCTTAATGAACTGAAGTATACATCAGATGAAGGAGTGAGTGTAAAATATCACAGCCATATCCAAATAATAATCATTAAAAAATCGCATCTGGGTACCGCTCCACGAATATCAATCTAAGTGCTACGATTGTCATAATGTATGAGAATTACGATCGGCTTAGTAGATGATGAACATACTGGACCCGTGATTATGTTGAACAGGCTCTGTGTACAACTGGACCCCAAGCCTCGTGAATATGATGACTAAGCGCCAAGGGCGACAGGACTTCTAGCCTCTTGATTATGTTGAACAGGCTCTGTGGACGACAAAACCCTCCAACCTCGAGGTTATATGTTGAACAGGCTCTGTGAAGGACTGGACCAAAAGCCTCGTAAATATGACTAAGCGCCGAGGGCGACAGGACTTCTAGCCTCTTGATTACGTTGAACAGACTCTGTGGACGACTGGACACCAGCCTTATGATTATGTAAAACAGGCTCTGTGGACGACTAAACCCCCATCCTCGTGAATATGATGACAAGACATCAAGGGCGACAGGATTTCTAACCTTGTGATTATGATGAGCAAGTTCTGTGGACGACTGGAACCCTAGCCTCGTGACTGACGAACAGGTGCCAAGCATGACAGGCAGATACAACAAAATAACTTAATCTAGTATCAGCGATGTTGAATGTTGGTGTGTGTCAGTGCACATTGTTAAACATAAACTGGGTCTTGCAAGTGATTTACAAGTAAGATAATAAGACTTTAAACAGAGGTCCAGTTTTGTCACTGCATACACCTCAGTTTCATTACCCTTTTATGATCTGTTAGCAGCTGTATATCGTGCCTTCTAAACTAATAGTAGTAGGAAGGCAGTCGAAACATAAATGCAATTCAGTGAACATAGATGCACTTCAACTGACCAACCGTGAAGATCCGGGTTAGAATAGATCTTCAGCAACCCATGCTTGCCGTGAAAGGCGTCTATGCTTGTCGTATGAGGCGACTAACGGGATCGGGTGGTCGCTGACTTGGTTGATGCATGCCATCGATTCCCAATTGCGAAGAAAGATGCTCATGATGTCAATAACTGGATTTTCTGGTCAAGACTCGATTATTTACAGACCGCCGTCATATAAATGGAATGCTTGCTGAGTGCGGCATTAAACAGTAAACAAACTTAACTGACAAACCAATTTTTTACATACTCACAGAATAGGAGCACCAGTAAGTGGATATTGAATAAGGCTGCATCAGCAATTTTGCAGTTACTCGCAGCATAGAATTATATAAGAAACCCCACAGCACATACACTAACCTTGTTACACTTATAGTTGGGCGTCCGCGCACAGATATTTTCGTTTGGAATTTAACAACATTACTTACTTATCCAGAAATGTCCAATGGATAGGAGAGTCAGTAGTTTGTCTTTAAAGTACATGGATACAAATGTCATGGGGAATGATAACTCGAGTATATTCTAACTGAGCTTATTGATTCCAGTTGCAGACAAGTCTCAGCATTTAAAGACTGCTCTGTTCGGTGTTCTGGCAGTCGGCATGCTAGGAAGGGACATGTAGGGAACTGTGTGGAGGAGTTTGGTTTAATGTTGTTTTAAGCAGCAGGATATTCCACAGTGTGTGAGGGAGTTTGGTTTAATGCAGGTTTAAGGCAGCAAGATACTTTATGGTGTGTGAGGGAGTTTGGTTTAATGCTGGTTTAAGCAATAGGATGCTTCATGGTGTGCGAGGGAGTTTAATGCTGGTTTAAGCAATAGGATACTTCACGGTGTCTGAGGGAGTTTGGTTTAATGCTGGTGTAAGGCAGCAGGATACTTTACGGTGTGTGAGAGAGTTTGGTTTAATGATGGTTTATGCAGTAGGATGCTTCACGGTGTGTGAGGGAGTTTAATGCTGGTTTAAGCAACAGGATACTTCACGGTGTGTGAGGGAGTTTGGTTTAATGCTGGTTTATGCAGTAGGATACTTCATGGTGTGCGAGGGAGTTTAATGCTGGTTTATGCAGTAGGATGCTTCATGGTGTGCGAGGGAGTTTAATGCTGGTTTAAGCAATAGGATACTGCACGGTGTGTGAGGGAGTTTGGTTTAATGCTGGTTTAAGGCAGCAGGATACTTTACGGTGTGTGAGAGAGTTTGGTTTAATGCTGGTGTAAGCAGAAGGATACTTCACAGAATGTGAGCCTAATGTGTGAGGAAATCCAAAATCACAGGTTCAGGACATTTACCCCTTTGATGAACCTCACCAGCAGATCCTACCAACAATAAGGGACACGACTCTGCACACAAATCCCATCAATGCCCCTGTCACACTTCCAAACTGTTTCACAAGTAAAATGTTTACAATTTAACATATCTCTTAACTTTCACACATATTAATCATTCATTCAGTGTTATCACAATGCCAACATTCCAAACATAGATGATCTACATTATCAGATGCATGGATATGTCCACATGATTACCTTGATCTGATCATGCACCATGTATTTCCACAATGATACAATCTGATAATGTCACCACCATAGCACATTTATTTACATTAATTCTCAGACATTAAAGTGCATTTATTTGGCAAAGTGGCAATTCTATAAAGTAAGATTCTTGTCTTTCAAAACAGTGAGTGAGTTTTTACATGTTTACTGCAGTAAAATAGCCCATCAGTAAACAATCATCCTTGTTTCACCCATGGAACTTCAGTGAACTTTGTCAAAACCAAATTTGTATGGGCAGAGAGTTTACCTTGTTTCAGACATTAGTTCTGGATTAGTGAGATCAGGGCAGGATTTATTTGTCTTTGTTTTCAAGACAAGCTCAGGGACATGTGTACAACTTTTCATACATTAAACAAGACTATTACCTTTACCTTCAATGTTTCCACACAAAACAAAGGATGTATACTGATGAACCTTTGATAGAGCATAGAATGTGTTGTCAGATTTAACTTGATGATGGTTTAGGGTGGACATTTGGAATCCTGGAATTGATAAGGTATGGACTGAGATCATGGACTGGAGTTGTTATTTTGAAAGGTTCCACTTTTTGTACAAGGACTTGACCTAAACTGTGACACTGTTCATAATATCAATCACAGGTTTGCTTGGTTCAGACATGATCACATATAAGATGTTGTTAAACACTACAATCAAACAATCAAACACACCAAATAATCGTGATAGATGAGCATATTCTGCCTTACTGGTAGCACTCATATTCCAGCAATATCATGGCGGGGGACACCATAATTAAGCTTCACATACTGTACCCATGGAGGGAAACAAACAAATGAATTACTGATTTGAACATATGCAACAGATACAAGTAAGAATGACATTACTTTAATGCACATGTAAACAATCTTAACAATATTGTTCTGCAAAACTAGGAACATTTAACCATGGGTGTACTCGTGAGAGGAATTTCAATGGATGGCCATTTTTTATATCGCTCTATTGGAACTGGGCTCAAAGCAAAGCTGTGGCAGCATATGGGCCCAGGGTATTCATAACAGAAGGGAGACATTACACACTGGGCAATTGGGGATGGGAAAAAAAGGGCAATCCTGCAGTCGTATGGAAATAGTTCAGTGTGCAGGAGAAGCTGGTATAGAATGTAGGGCTGTACAGATTGGCTTTATGAACCAACAATATGCATAAAAACTGTTTGTCCACCATAAAAAGTCCTCAATTACTTTAGCTGTATCAGTTCCAATATCCCAGGAGAATGGTCATGCAATCTTGAAATCCGTCATTATGACCAACTCAGGTTGAAATGACATCACTGGACCTGCACAATTTCTGTACCGACTAATCATATAGAGTACAGATACAGAACACTTTGAGCATGTTGAAGGAGTGATTGAGTGGCTTAACACTGTTGTGATATGTATTTCATATGCATAATATGAGAGGAAAGCCCAAAATCTCAGACAGTTACTACTTTGGTGATGAAGGGTAAGCCGCTGACAAACCAATCATCATAATCAGGGTAAATCAGGGATTCACACCAATGATCATAGGATCATTCTGTGTTTAAGGGATGCAAGTCTGTACACAAATTACAGCACCTTGTATCTTGTACGACTGGGGCAACCATGCCGACCAAAAGATTTGGAAATGTTACTGAACGGTAATCAAACAATTTCTTGCCAAGCATCTTTGTTTTCAAGCAGTCTGCACACTGGACCTGGTCCACAATCACATGACACATTTTCATTAAATATTCAATCACATGAGGTAATCTTAACAGACATGTTCAGGAAATGTGAGCATTACATTATTCTCTGAAACCAATCCAGTTACCTGCCATGACCACAAAGTCCTTAAGGATCCTGTCTGTTGTCTGTCACTGGTACCATGACCACTCCATGTTTAGCTGAAGACATTATCAAAATGCCATCCAGAACCAATCAGTGATGATACTCATTAGGTGTTGTAAGACATTTCCCTTGGGATTCTATTTTATGTCTTCATTTGAAACCCTGACTGTCATCTAGAACTAAACATTGATGTCTTCACTTGAAGTAAACATAATGTCCACTTCAACCAATCAATGATGGCTTTACTTGATGTAAACATTATGTCCACTTCAACCAATCAATGATGGCTTTACTTGATGTAAACATAATGTCCACTCTAACCAATCAGTGATTGGTTCACTAATGTTCACTATGAGCCATCAGAGTCAACTTCATTAATTGACATGAACACAATATCCGCTGGAATCCATAGATTCATGTAATGTTCCTGACACTGACATCTTCATCTAATATAATGAGTTCCTCCATGACACCAATAACTGACATCTTCATCTAATATCATGAGTTCCACCATGACAGCAAACCTAGACCAGACTCGCTGATGGATCCCTGAAACAAACAATGAATTCCATCTCAGGGGACTTACTTGTCTCCAGTCAGTTTGTAGCTATAACATATCTGGCAGAACATATCAAGGAGTAATGGTGATCTTAACTTGTAAAACCAGTAAAAACATAAATATCCTAAATATCAGTTTATCATGATATCAAAACATCAGAAAATGCAGTTGTACCAATTTATATTTGTTTGTCGTTTAACGCCGCACTCAGCAATATTCCAGCTATATCACGGCGGTCTGTAAATAATGGAGTCTGGACCAGACAAATCAGTGATTGATATCATGACAATCGATCCACACAGTTAGGAAACGATGACATACATCAACCAAGTCAATGAGCCTGACCAGCCGATCCCGTTAGTCGCCTCTTACGACAAGCATAGTCACTTTTTAAGGCAAGCATGGGTTGCTGAAGACCTATTCTACCCAGGATCTTCACGGGTTACCAATTTATTAGTTATGTATGGAAAGACTCAGTGTATATCTCTGTATTCATCTCTATATCATTAATATGTGTCTGTGTACATAATTCACACCAATTTATGAGTAATGTACACAGACATATATTGATGATATAGAGATGAATATAGAGATATACACTGAGTCTCATACACACACATGTTTATACAGAAACACATTGATGTGTATACAGAGACGTGTACCTATGTACAGTGAGTGAGGGAGGGAATAAATGCAAATTTTACGTCACATAGGAAATTTTCAGCCATATCGGGACGAGAACATTATACATTAATAACAAATATATTAGATCATATAAAATCCTGTCATTAAAGGACGGTACAATAACTAGATTATCACAGATTTTATGTAAAACAAATTTGAGAGTACAGTGAGTGCGTTGGGTATAATGTCACATTACTCACAGCGTGTCAGCTTAATGTGTCTTACACGTTCAGAACTTTGGTGAAACGCACAAGCATGGTTGCGGTGCTGAGAAACCTAGGACAAATCTTGGATTCAAATCCATGATCATGGAATCCTGGCATGCCAAAGGGATGCAATTCTGCAAACCTAATTGCCTAAGTTTTGGCCAACTATTTCCATGAAATATATACAGAAACATGCAGTGACTTGGAGAGTGAGTAAATAATGCTTAATATTCTCAGAGCTGCTGCAGGATCATGCAGCCATTCATGACAAGATGCATTGAGCATGTTGAGACATATTACTTACTAGACCATACATTGTTCCACCTTCATACAGCCATGCTAGTCAAAATGATGTGTTTTTTTATTTATTTCAAGATTCATTGAAGCCCTCTGGAGTCTCTTCCAGACATAGTCATAAAACACAATTTATGGATTTTCAAACAAGAAATAAACTGGAAGAAGAATAAGAATAGCTCAATAATGCTCTGACATTTGTCATTTTAACTAATGAAACCCTTTTCCAACAGATAAACTGTGTGAAGGTATCATACCGATTTGCCCAATAACAAGGTTCTCTATAAAGGTAACCACCAAACTCCTACTCATCTCTGAACGAGAAAATTCTACTCATCTTTCAACAGAGTTCAATATGACCTGCATGCTGATAGCAACCTATTTCAAAATGTTTCATATAAACAGTCAAACCCTAACAATGATAGTAGAAATCAGTTTCATGTTTAAAATCATCCACTGGCATCTTAATGATAGCAGCATAGCTATTAAGGTACATGATGATAGCTGCAAATCACTTCCATTGCACATGATAAGCAGTTGTGAGCAGATTCGAGCGTTTCTGAAAATGTCAGCTCCAAGACATAACAGTATCATAATACGATGCGACTGTAAGCCAGAGGGGAAATTCTTACTGTGATAAACTACATTTAAGATAAGATAATCTAATTATGAAACTGTAATTAGGTGAGAACAAACTCCACTGAACGGGTTTTACTTAGAATTTATGATAAGGAGTATATCATAAAGATGCCTATTACACATGCTGGTAGCTTCATGAATCATTTCATATAGTTGGGCGTGGTGATCTTATCTGTGTCCATAAGCGTACATACAGGAAGTCATGGATGTGGTACTCTATCACCATCTCATTGCCAAAAACAAAAACAAGCATTGTCAGACAATTTATCATAATTGGGTTATGGTGACTGTTTAAAATCATAATTCATGTTGTCATCCATTCTCAGTTTCAGTCTCAATGTGTGGTTTAGATGGTGATGCCAGGTTCATGTGAGCTAATACACAATGCTGAGCTTGTTATTCAGAAATGGAAAGCTCATTAAACTTACTTTTTAACTGAAATAATTTACTCCTAATGGCAGCATCGTTCTATTTGTGAACGTGATTACAGATTTCACTGCTGTGCTAATTGCATGTTAATTATGTCATGCAATTAACTCAGTGGGATAGATTTTGGGTGTGTTGATAAAGATCGCCAAAGAGCTCTGTACAAATAAGTCACATGCACTAGATGACATATCATAGTGTGTCTGTCATTTTCCTGTTGGAGGATAGTTCAGAGGGATGCAGACTGTGGACAACTCCGTGAAACGCGTGGGTAAAGGATAGATAGATCAAGGATCAAACTCAAGTATCATCTGAGTAGGTCATCTTGGTTTCAGGTTGACAGAGTAAGGCACCTGGTTTTCAAAATGATGGCTTACCATCTGGGAGTAGTGTCACTTTGTGGCCTCACGAAAGATTGTGACTTGTCGTAGGATGATCTTTTGGTGTCAAGAGTCAAATATGGTAACATATTGTCAAAGTGTTTGGTGACATCTTTGTCTCAAGGGTCAAGATGGTGACTTACCGTCAGAGATTGAGGTGACTTCTTGCCTCAAGGGTAAAAAATGGTGCCTTACCATCAGAGGGTAAAGTGACTTCTTGACATTGAGGGTCAAAGGTAGTGACTTACTGTCAGAGAGTAAGGTGACTTCTTGACCTCAAGGTTCAAAAATGGTGACTAACCGTCAGAGAGTAAGTGACTCCTTGGCCGCAAAGGTCGAAGATGGTAACTTACTGTCAGAGAGTAAGGTGACTTCTTGGCCTCAGGGTCAACAATGGTGATGTCAGAGGCTGAGGGTTCAGCACCACCATCAGGACCTGCCGGAGTTGTATCCACAAAGATCTCATCCACAACCCGGAACCTGGTGAAACAATTACTTTGAAATATGGATCACATCATTTTGGATGCCACAGCTAATTAGCATTTGTGACACTTTACAGATTACTGAAGCTATGTTATAGTATTAAGTACACACAATAAAGGGCTCACAATTTATGCCTACTTAGGGAATAAAAAGGTGAGGGATACTAAGCTATCACTTACCCCTGTACTCTCCACAATTGTGCATTCTGATCCCTTGACTTTAAATAATATGCTTGTCAGAATGATTGAGTTTTATACATTATCATTACATATCAACTGAAGTAATAATTGACAAAACATCATCATCCAGTGACCATTGACCAAGTTGGTTGGTTGTTGAAGTCCATCTGTCTTATATTAAGGACCATCTATGACCCAAATTAGGTCAGAATCCATTTTTCTTTGTTCACAATATCATCCAGAAACCTAACATGATGACAGCTGCTGTGTTACTCAATAATATCTACTGGTATATGACTAATTGAGCTGAAGAAAGTGAATTGTTGCTTGTTGTCCTAATTGCAGTTGATGATATTATATTACTGTGCAAATAAAGACTGATTTATGAGAAAGTATGGCTGTAAAAATAAATTGTTCATGAATTGATGCTGAAGTGTGCACATGTGTATTAATGGAAGATGATAGAGAACAAGTAATAACAAAAAACTTCCAATAGCTAATTTCAGGAAAAGATTGTCCCCTTTGCTAACATTAGTACATTAAAAACCACTGAGCAAGTTTGACATTAATATTTTAAGGGACTTCAAAGACAAAATGTTTTTGCAACATCATCAACAACTGCCAAAGCTGAGTGCCAATTATCCTGCAGAAAAAAGTGACATTACTTCATCATTTAAAAAAGTTCAAACCAACATGCCCTTATATAGTTTCTGGGGAGAGATAATTTAACCTTCTTAAATATTAACACTTTGTAATTTGTTTAAACAACAATGAACACCAACAAACTTTCTAGTTCTGGTGGTTGGTACAGAGAGGTGATATAGAGTTAAGTGAGTTAAAACTTAACGTTGCATCGGCATCATTTCAGCCAAATTTGAGTGTCGGTATAAACAAACCTGAAACGACAGATGGTTGTTATTTATCATCCAAAGATAAGGCTTCCTTGCTCTTCTGTAGATGCGTAACACTTGATCCCCTTTATCATGTATAGAGTCTTCTACACATACAAACCATTTCTCAAACTCGGTTTCAGAGGGAAAATCTTTTCAGGGCATAAAACTTGTTGAAACATTCTAAATGTTTGAATATTTAATTTTGGTGGAGAGGGAACCAGTTATTCAAGTTTCATGTCATGAATAAAACTTGAACTCTTTTACCATCCATCAGCAACACAGAAATTTCAACTCAATCCATCAAGCAGTTCTGGAGAAGTACATCATCTACAATGACTGAAGCTGAAATCTGACACTACTGATGTCATCATCACTCATTATGGAGCTCCACCTATCTCACAGGGAGCACGACTTGTCTAACAGAGATGTCCACCTCTCACACAAGGAGACCCACCTGTCTCTCAGGGAGCTCCACCCATCTTACAGGGAGCTCCACCCATCTCACAGGGAGCCCCAACCATCTCACAGGGAGCTCAAACCATCTCACATGGAGCACCACCTGTCTCTCAGGGAGCTCCAACCATCTCACATGGAGCACCACCCATCTCACAGGGAGCCCCAACCATCTCACAGGGAGCATCACCTGTCTCTCAGGGAGCTCCAACCATCTCACATGGAGCACCACCTGTCTCTCAGGGAGCTCCAACCATCTTGCATGGAGCACCACCTATCTCACAGGGAGCTCCACCTATCTCACAGGGTGACCCACCTATCTCACATAGAGAACCACACATTTTACTAAGAGCTCCATCTAGCTCACAAAGGAGCTCAACCTATCTCACTGGGACCACAACTTGTCTGACAGGGATGTCCACCTTTCTCACAGAGAGACCCACCTATCTTACATGGAGAAACACATATTTCACAAGGAGCTCCACCAAGCTCACAGGGAGCTCCACCTATCTCACAGGGAGCATGACTTGTCTGACAGGGATGTCCACCTTTCTCACAGGGAGACCCACCTATCCTACACGGAGAACCACACATTTCACAGGGAGCTCCACCTACCTCATAGGAGACCCACGTATCTCACATGGACCATGACTTGTCTGACAGGGAGCTCCACCTATCTCACAGGAGATATGGAGATAGGTTACAGGTATTTCTCATAATAGAGTGAAGATATAATACTAATGTTAACAGAGGAGAGGGAAAACATATTTCATAACTAGGGGACACAACTCCGTGAGTTCCTGCACCTTCAACATGTTTGATGATGCGATCACAGGTAGATCCACCTACCTCACAAGGAGCTCAACCTACCTCACATAGAGCTCCAGCTTTCTCACAAAGAGTGCCACCCATCTCACAAGGAGCTCCAGCTATCTCACAAGGAGTGTCACCCATCTTACAAGCAGAACAACCCATCTCACACGGAAAACCACATATTTCATAGGAATGCCCACCTAACCTCACAGGGAGCTCCACCTATCTCAGAAACAGACACACCTAACCTCACAGGGAGCTCCACCATCTCAGAAACAGACACACCTAACCTCACAGGGGTCCACCATCTCAGAAACAGACACACCTAACCTCACAGGGAGCTCCACCATCTCAGAAACAGACACACCTAACCTCACAGGGAGCTCCACCATCTCAGAAACAGACACACCTAACCTCACAGGGAGCTCCACCATCTCAGAAACAGACACACCTAACCTCACAGGGAGCTCCACCATCTCAGAAACAGACACACCTAACCTCACAGGGAGCTCCACCATCTCAGAAACAGACACACCTAACCTCACAGGGAGCTCCACCTATCTCAGAAACAGACACACCTAACCTCACAGGGAGCTCCACCTATCTCAGAAACAGACACACCTAACCTCACAGGGGTCCACCATCTCAGAAACAGACACACCTAACCTCACAGGGAGCTCCACCTATCTCAGAAACAGACACACCTAACCTCACAGGGAGCTCCACCTATCTCAGAAACAGACACACCTAACCTCACAGGGGTCCACCATCTCAGAAACAGACACACCTAACCTCACAGGGAGCTCCACCTATCTCAGAAGGCAACACACCCATCTCACAAGGAGACCAACCCATCTCACACGGAAAACCACATATTTCATAGGGATGTCCACACAATTCACAGGGAGCTCAACCTATCTCACAGAGAGCTCCACCAAATTTACAGGTAGCTCCACCTACCTCACAAGGAGCGCCATCTATCTCACTGGAGCTCCAACCATCTCACAGGGAGCACCACCTATCTCATAGGGAGTATTTCTCATAATAGAATGAAGACATAATTCACTTGATACACATAGAATGCAGCAATCTAGAAACTGGCTTCTGAGAGGAAAAACATATTTCCCGACTAGGGGACACAACTCAGTGAGTTCCTGCACCTACAACATGTTTGATGACTTGACGAGACTACCCCCATTGAGGATATTAAAAACAACCTGCCATTCTTTGCCATAACAAAAATTTATGTTAAAGACCCCTCACGACAACAATTGTCAGTTCCTTTGTTCATGTATGTTAACACAACAGGAATGATTGTTTGGTTGGTAAGTAATTGTGGAAATATATCACACTGACAAATCTTTTGCAAACTTACATTTATGAACTGGCATAAACATGATGAAATAATAGATTATTGTTTCAATCAATCACTCTGTCAAATGTCACTGTTCTTAGATAAAAAGCAGGGGCAAATATACAAATAAACCAAAGACTCTAAATGTTTGAAGGTATGTGGTAATTGTACCTAAACAGTTGTAATTACGATTTATTATCAAAGAGTACTGGAGAACTTCTCGCCATACTCACTGGTACATGAACTACAATTCATTGAGAATGACCATTTGACTGGCAGCCATTTTGAAAAAATAGCTCTACATTTAATGAAGTTGGTCCAAATAACAAATATGCAATAATTTAGACATTTATCATTCTAAATCCACTTAACACCAAAAGGTCACCCCATTTCTCAAATACACGAACTGTCAGAAGTGATGTTAATTCTATTCAGGACCATGAAAAAAACACTTCTTTTCTTGTTTTTCTAAGATAAATAACGTATAAGTCAACACGAAAAAAGGTAACTGTAAGATAAAACAATTGTTTTTTCCTTCCTTGATGTCAACACGACATATGGAAAAGATCCCCACTCTCCACTCACCACCATCCTCCTCAGCCTGTTGCCATCGATACCTACCAATTCACAACACAAATAAATACATCAGGAATCTTGAGGCCAATTTGATACCAGAGACATCAGTGTCTCTCCCCTTGTTCACACAAACAACAATAGCCATCTTGCTGGGACCACCTTGCCAACTTTATCAAACAGGCAGGGAGTGTTTGTAAATTCGTATCAGCGGTACTATGATTATGCTCTTCGGCAAGTGGAGGAAAGCGAAACTGTCTTGTGTAAGAAAACATATGGGTTGTCTGCAGCTGAAGGTGTTTACCTCCAATTATCGGAATTACAGCGCAAGATAATCACAGATAAATACAGGTGTCATTCCGTGTTGGATGCCTACAATATCTTGAACACCATTCTCTGCAAGATAAATACTTCTGACATCGTTTCTTAAGTATGCCAACTCGGTGTATTTGCGTAATAGTTTTAATGGATGTAGATATGTGTATACAGTGCATCGCAATTATTATATGTATTTTGTTTCAGTATAAACATAGCATGCTGCTCGTACATACACTGTACATGTAGATATGCTTATGTTTGGTACACTATTTGTACTGGCTTATTTTCAAGTTAAACAAGCAAGACAATCACCAACTCCAAGTATATATTTGAAAGAAGTAGTACATCAAATTATTTGCTGTTTTTAGTCTACCCTTATCATGCCTAAGTCTTTTGAGTGTATGGTTTTAAACT